AGCCCCCCCCCCCCCCCATTATGGCTACAGATTACCATTCGGTCTTAAGACGCTTCATTGCATAACTGTGGGACTGCAAATGTTGCATCATAGAGCACAGCTGAGTGGAAGAGCATTTTGGTGACAACATAGCTACAATATGAAGCAGAGGCAGGAGGAATCATTTGACCTTGAGGTCAAAGGTACATTTTTATTTCCAAATAAGGAATTCAAATCATTATTTATCCATATTATAGATCTACAAATGGTCATATTGAGAGCTGAGAACTGTGTCATGTTATTCATTCCTACTATGCTATTTCATGTCATCAAATTTTTAAAGATAGAAATCATATTAGTTATTTATTTTATATATATATATATATATATTTATTTATTTAATTGTATGTGTTCTAATATTATATTGCAAAATATTTTTAATAATTTTAATTTAATATTAATTTATTCCAGATGTTTCTTCATAACATTGATCTAACATGCCCTCTTTTTTTTAAATGATAATTTATAAAAACCCATATCACAGGTTTAGTTAATATCACTTTTTGCAATTGATTATATGAATTCTGTGAGGTTTTGTATCATTGCTTGGTGTGGCTCAGTTTTCAGTTCATCCTTTTCCAACATTTTTGATAACATCATATAAATTAGTATCATAATATTTCAAGATTGAAAAGTTTCAAAAATGTTGAAAACTTGAGAAATATATATAACTTCAAATATAATGTTACAAATATCAAAAACAAGGTTAAAATAAGGATAAAACTTATCAAAATTAAATTGACACCGTCAAACCTTTATTGAATTACTTCCATAAATTATAAAATAATATCGATTTTTATTTATTTATTTTTGTAACTTTAAGGCTTGAAAACCCTTGTGCTTCTTTTAAAAGAATATTATAGGTCTTCTACAGTATACAAACCCTTCCAGAAGTCCGACAGTCATCCTGAACGATGATTTTCAATCCTTGTGTGTTGATTTCCAGAATGCAAGGCGAAGGGGGGTTGAACTGCATTGTTGTTCGTCTATTTGATGCTATCTGTTGACATAATCAGATTGCATATGAACATCAGATTACATATGAACAACATCATGTCATTGTAATTATGTAAATATATGGAAATCCAGGGCAGAATTATAATGCAGAAATTGATTAGTATACCTTGTGCATGGCGGCACAAAGCACATCATTCCCTTTGTGATACGGAACTTGAACAGAACCAAGGAATTTTACCCAGAATTTGTCCATCCAGTCACTTTTGACCTCTGCATAAATCACAGCAGACAGAGAAGGCCATTATTCCTCAATGCACAAGATACAAAAGCTTAAACACTTAAAATACTTATAGCAAAGCCAAGATGTACCTTTAACAAGTTCATCCTTTGTCACCATGACGGCATAAAATGCAGGGAAGATGCCTTTGGATCCAGTGCGCATGTTGTAGGCCTCGCACCATAGATCCTCGTCCTGCACCTCAACCAGTAAGGGGTCATCTGCCTCCAACTCCAACTCATCATCATGACGAGGAACAAACCTGTAAACAAGCCAAAATTTGGTTTAGGGTAATAACCAATGAGCTGAGCGTCTATTTGAAGAAAAATATATATTTGCATAGTTTGTCCTATTACT